TTTTATGTGAATAAGCTTTCAAAAGAAAATGATGAATATGGACGATAAATTATTAGGTATTCTAGGGATAGCGGTTATTAAACACCATTGTCAATCACAGAACCTCCATTCTCTATTATTCTCGATTATTAGGATGAATGTGGTGTTCTGATTGGCCGGAGATGTGCAGTACCTGTTATTCCCAGGGTAGTGTGTATTTTTTCCGCATAGAAGATGAAAACCCACATTTTTATTCACCAAGAAAATAATAATCATGTTACACAAGTAAGGTTACTAATGAACCGAGCCGAGATTCAATTTGTTTGGATTGAGCTCGAGATTTTGACAGGCACGAAAAACTAAACTCGGACTCAGTTCTTTATTTTGAAAAACTCGAGACCGACTCATTTAATAATAAAAATCATTCGGACTCGATTTGAACTTATGCTCAAAATCACTTTGACTCGTTCGTGAACCCATAGGAACTTACACAAGTCTATGTCACAAGCAAATGTTTATGAGCCATATTCATTCATGAACCTACACATATTTATGCTTATAAAAATATTCACGAGTCTAATTCAGAAAACACATGCGAGTTTACACAAGTTTAATGTTTAGAATTTTACACGTGCCAAATATAAAAATATTTAAAAAAAAAAAATTAACTCAAATTTATCTCGTTTGCTTAAAAAATTGGTATGAACCAAATTTTAAGCGGGCTGATTATAAACTATTCATAAACAGTTTGGTTGAAGGTGAAATGACAATATAATAGGTTAAATAAAAGCAAATGACCATAATTCTTGGAAAGGATGCCTAAATTCGGTAATACAATATAATGGCTAGATTTTAGAAGGCCCACGAGTCCAAAGATAAAGCAAAAAGTTATAATTTCCTATAGTTTTATATATATATATATATATATCCTAGAAATGAAGCTTTGTAGACTACCATTACTCCACAAAACAACAATACTCAAATTAAGACTCCAATTTCTACCATAATCTTTGGCAAGTGATCCTCATTTATTGTAATTGGTAAGTTGTCCATAAATATGATGGTGGTGTAGCTGGCAAAAGTAAGCTTATTCTTTGCCTAAAACTAGGATAACTTTTACTTTTTGCGTACCCCTCTATCTTTCTTTTATATATATATATAAAAGAATGTTGGGTAACATGTTACAGGGAATAAGACAGGAACACGAATTTTTAAACACTTAAGCAATTTCAACAGAACACTTTTCAATACCATTGTATTTGAACATCCGCAGATTTTTTCTTAGAAAAACACTAAGAATAAAAGAAATAAATTACATACCACTTTTATCTAAAATATAAATTTAACCCCAAAATTTGAATATAATTGCAAAGCATAGTCAAGTGACTAAAGTTTTGCTTGGGTCAAATTTTCAAAAATAATTATCAATAACTCAAAAATCAAAAATTATTTTAGATAATAATGAAAGGCACTCTTCTTTTTTAAAAGAAATCTTTTTTTTAAAAAAAAAACTAAGTTTTCAAATAACAGTTTCAAAAACCGTGGACTTGTTTACAAATTTATATTTTAAGTTCTTTAGAAATAGAAAACTGAATCAATAGATTCTTAATTTTTTTACTGAATCAAATAGGTTCCTAATTTTTTTTCAAAAAAATAATTATAGTAAATGTATAGCAAGTTACTCAAAAAATAGTAGAGATATTGTAAGTTGAGAGTAGTGAGAGTGGATATGTTTGGTTTTATTTTCTAAAAATACTTTTCAATAATTTAAAAAATAAAAAATGTTTTTCAAAAAATAATAAAATAAGTTTAATTGATTCAAACAGTTTCTATTTTTATCCAATAAAAAAATTATTATAATAAATGTATATCAAGATTTTTTTTTTTTTTTTGTTAAAAATGTATATACATATATATATGTATGTATATCAAGATTATGCTAAAGTGCGTGTGATCATAACTGTGCCCTTTTCAAATTGACTTTACAGAAGTGGCAAAAAGAGGTGAAGATCTTGTATTTTCATTGCGGAACGCCATTTTTAACGGTCCAGATCTCAAGTACCTATCCAAAGGCTGATCAGGACCATCAATACCGTGTACCCCACTTGAGGTCAGAAACATGTGATGCTGAAAAATCTTGAGATGCGAGATGTGAGGCTTATCTACATCGATCTTAATGATCATGTTATCATGTTCTCTTTTACAGTACACGCGCGTGCATGTGAATAGTGGTCTCGTAAGTTGATTTTGGTTCTGTGGGACCCAATACACTCGATCACCCTCACGCGCGTGTTCAACACACTTGGGAAATTATAGCGTGAGCGTGTAGTCACGTGCTGTGATGAGCCTGTGGTAGAAGTGGTCCATTTTAATGTGATGTTGTCATTCGTATCTTGTGGGGTCCACCATATTAAACTATAAATATATTGTCAATAGAGAAGACGACAAATTTATAGATCTTGTATCCGTAACGTGGCTAATTACTATTAAGCCCTTTTTACTAAGCCCCTTAAAGGGGTGTTCAGGTGTGGAACGCACTTGCTATATACACACATCAGGTGGCAGGGGATAATTTTGGAAAGGCCACGTGGACGGCCGCGATGGGATGCAGTGCCACGTCATGAGGGTTGAAAAGTAAAGGACGTCTTGGGACCAAAGCCAAATCCCAGAAAGGTCCTGCCACATGATTCTCTGCAATCAGTAGCCGTCAATTTCAGTTAAAAGTCCAAAATGCCCTTACCTCGTTTTTATCAAAAGTCCATGCTCGGGTGAAGTTACAGTGTGATCATACTTATTGTATTTTCATAAACTGTGATATAATCTCTTAATTGATGGTTAATGCCTTAATTCATGATTATTACTATTATTTTTATTATTAGGTTATAGAAATTATAATTATAATAATACTCCTCCCTTCTCAATTTAAGTGTCGTTTAAGTAAATTGTAAATCACAATTCTCAACACTTAAATTAGAACGGAGGGAGTAACTCTCATGTACATGCAGATTGTGTAAAAAATTTACCTTCAAATAACTTTTTCGTATTTTTTTAAATTGAGTAAATAAAGATATTTTATCAATTTAAAAATTAAAATACCTAAAATAACATTAAAGGAAATCGGAAAAAATTAAAAAATTGGAGAGTTCTTCTTATCAATTTTGGCGTGGACCACTTGCATTAAATGTGTGTTTGCCATGTTTGTTGGGTAAATAATGTGATACTAAAGAATCCAATACATATTGGGTTTTAATGAATTTTAATTTTTTTTTATTAAAATTTTAAAGATGATTTAATATAAGTAATTACTAATAAGCTTTACTTTATTTTTTAGTTGGTGCAGTATTACCCATAAATGCTTAATAATTTAGACTTTTTACTAAATTGATGAGTAAAAATAGACATTAACAATATCGTGCTATATTTAGTTGTTTAGGTGAAGAAAAATAATAAAAAAAATATAAAAACTCACATATCAAGTCTTGGAAAAAACATATTGACTTAAGAGAGAATGTCGGTAAGGTGAAGAAAATTGACGAGAAAGCTAGTGAGGAGAAGAAATAAAAGATTTAACACGTGTTTTATAGTGATAGTTGTTGACTCCGCCAGGTCGAGCCTGACTCATCCTGATCCCCCATTTTCATGGCATTAAATCTTCTTGCCATTCTTAAGTCTTCCCCTATAATAAAATGGATCAAAAGTCTAATATGAGATACATTTAATTAAAATTTTATGTTATTACGATCAAATTAACATAAACACAGTATATTTATAGATCACGTGAATTATAACATGAAAATGACAAATTACACAGTATATTTATAGATTACGTGAATTATAACAAAAAAAATGACAAGTTAAACTAACACGTTCTATTAAATTCATTCTTTTTAACTTTAATTAAAGGGTTAATTTTGCTTTTCTCTTTTGAAGTTTGTCACTAGACCCTCTATATTTTATAATCCCACATGCCTCATTTGTCAGTGACTTCTTTTATCATATTGTCCATGAATTTGCTGTCATTTCATATATTAGATGAGTAAAATGATTTGCAAAAAGAATTTATTACATAAACTAGAACATTAGGAAAAGTAAGTAGAATTATAAACATTAAGAGGTCTACATGATATACTAACAAATCTCAAAAGAGATAAATGGGATTAACTTTTAGAATACGTTTGGATATGATAGATTTGAGGGGTACAGAGAAAACAAAAGAAATGATAGTGAAAGTGTGTTTGATTAATTAAAAAAGAGATTAAAGAAAGAATATGGAAAAACGTAAATGAAAAGATAAGAAGAGAAAAGATAATGTTTAAATAATATTTTCATAATTTTGAAACTACCCCCGACAATTAAAAGGAGGAAGTTATTCTTCCACTTACATCTCATATATTTAAAAGGATATGATAGTCATTTTATTATTATAATTTCTCTTCTTTTTTTTCTTTTATCATATTAAAAAAAAATATTATCATTTTTTCTTATTTTCACTTTTATCTGTTTAAACATTAATAGAAATTATTATTATTTTTTCTGTCCTACCATCTCCTGACTAATACGAAATACTACATACTATGCTTTATTTTCTTTCCTATCATGTGCATCTTCCTATTATGTGCATCCAAACAAAACCTTAATTAAATCGACCCAATTAAATTATAGTACATGAATTAGCATATGAAATAGTACAAAAACCACACGTTTAGCAACAATCCCGATTAAACCAAACTCAAATCAAACCGTGCAAGGCTTGTCATGAATTGCCAGCCCTCTTGTCTGAATAGGAATGGACAAAAAGTGAGGGTGATAGGAACAAAGTGGAGTAAAAACAACTTCATTGGACAAAGCATTGGCATAAGGGAAACACGCCCCACGTGTTACACAACCATTGGATCACTTGGATATTAGTAAGCTTGGTTGGATCTCCTGAATTTAGTTTTGGATTTGTTCGTGGCAGTATTTTACACGCGCCCAAGGATAGCGTGATCACAGACTCTTTCTCTCTCCCATCTCTTGGCCTTGTTTGGGCAACTGAACAATGTTACTTACAACACTGTCTCACACTGTCACACACAGGATATATAGAACACACAAAAGATTTTGATCTTACCTGTGAGTTTAGTTTGGGAGGGAAAAAATAAACCCATCTGTTGCAACCTGGGACTTAGAACCCAAAGCCATTGAAGAGAGAGAAAGTTCACAGCATATAGAGAGAGAGAGAGAGGGGGGGGGGGGGGGGTTGTCACAAAATTTAACTCAACACCCAATAGTCCAACAACCTGAGAGAGAGAGAGAGAGAGAGCAAATCGAGAGAGAGAAGAGGGAAAGATGTTTGCAGCAGAGAATGGACTCAAAGGGGACCCAAGGCTTCAAGCCATCTCTGAAGCCATTACAGTCGTTCCTGACTTCCCAAAACCAGGTTTTTTTTTTTTTTGGGGTCTATTTCTTCATTTTTACTCCTATTCCTGTTCATATATATACACATATATCTATTACCCACTTCCCAAAACTAGTTTTTTTTTTTTTTTTGGGCAATTGCTTCATTTCACTACTATTTAAGTCTTAATTAGTACATATATATCTATTTTTTATTTTTAGGAATAATGTTTCAAGATATCACAACTTTGTTACTAAATCACAAGGCCTTCAAGGACACTGTGGACATTTTTGTTGATAGATACAGACACATGGACATCTCTGTTGTTGCTGGTATTGTGCTTCTTTTTCTCTTCTATTCTCAAGAATTTTTATTTTTTGTTTTCAATTTTTTTATTGGTTGTCTCTGGCTTTAACACTTATTCATTCATGTGTTTGATGTGTGGGATAAGATTGAAATGCTTGGAATTTTTTTTCTCAAGATTTTCACTATATTTCTTTTTCTTTCCCCTTTTCCTTCCTAGATTGGAAAATGATTGTGGGTTGTTTTATTTCATTCTCTTGGATTATTTGGGGTCCATACAGAGAGGGCCGGTTTAATGCTTGAAATACAAAAGTTGGGTCATCTGGTCCGGAATTGTTTGATGTCCCTTTTCTTATTTGGGATTCATTTGTGTGTGTGTGTTGTAGCAGAATTTGAACTGGTTATAATGTCTCTTTTCTTATTTGGGGTTCTTATATATACGTGTGTGTATATATATATATACTGATTCATTTTTACCATGATATTATGGATTTGTTTGAGAATAACTTTTTTTTTCTTTTAATAAATTTATTTTGCTAATGTGAAATAATTTGTTCAAAGATTCAATGTTTCATTTTTCCAAGAATTGTTTTTTGAATTATGATTATCTTTCAAACTTACATATTTATTTTAAATCTATTAGTTTCCCAATAATTTTTTTTCAACTGAAAAAAATTAATATATTTTTTTAAAATTTTAGGACAACAGTGTAGCCTTCTGACTTTTCATTCTCTTAGAAATTCAGTCTATTGCCATCCAAATTTCTTGGTATGATTGGACAGTATTAACCTTTTACCCTGACAATTCTGCTGACGTTAGTCAATTTATTGCAAAATGTTCCTGTTGTTTTCTCTTATGATTATTTTTTAAATCTTCTTTCTTTCACTATTTACTTTTTACTTCATTATTTTCCCTGAATGGAATTGTGTTTCATCTGTTTTGTTACCTGAACTTCTCCCCCAAAAAACTACTATTATAATAAGCTTGCTTCATAAAAATTGTTTCTTTTTCCAAGGGCTCGGGCATATTGGTTACATTTGGCCAATTTTGCTTGTGTATTATCGACTTTAGATTATGTGGTATGGCCAGTGTGTTTGCAATCTGATTCTTTTACCTTGTGGTATGCCCTGTCTCCCATTTGATGTCCCACTATTTTATTTTCTTCGTTTAAGATGTTTTGACTAACCATGTCTAGACACTTGACTAATCTCACACTCTTTGCTTGACGAAGACCTCAATGCAAGCTAAAACGTTCTTGCTTGGCAAAGTGACTGGGGCCTAATGTTGCCCAAGACATGCTTTAACTAGTTGTGTTTGCACGCGCAATAACTCAATTTGTAAAGTATATGTTGTCCATTGCTAAATTGACTTCCATGTCCATAAATTTTCCCCGGTACCTAAGTTATTCTTCATGTATTTTTAACTCTAAGATGAGGGATAGCAGTTTTGAGTAACAAATTTTTATACATTTGGCTTTTCGGTTTGAAGTTAGGTAATTTTTCGTTGTTCTTTTCCTTTTAGGAACTATGCCATCTCCATATCACACAGTAGTTTGTAAGGCCTTTAGTGTGTTGTGAGGGTATCTTGGTAGAAAATGAACTCTCAGTTTGTTAGGCCTTTAGTGCATTGGAGGGTTCTTTACACGTAGAAGCCCTAAAACTATCATGAAGTACCTTCCCGTTAACAACTCTATCTGCTTAAGCTATTAGAGAGGGTGGAACTTTAATATTTAAATTCTTCAACTCAACCTCTCACGTGGCATTCTTGTTGGTCCAACACATGTTTCAATTTTTAATTATCAGGGTGCCAGTGAGGTTTGAAATCAATACTTTTATCTCTGATACCATGTTAACAACTATTTACTCTAACAACTTAAGCTATCAGAGAGGGTGTAACTTCAATATTTAAATACTTCAACACATACAATAGGGTCACCATTACTAATAAAATTGTAAAGTAGGACGATAGTGATCTTTGGATTGATTAAGAATTGATTCTTTTTGTGGTTTGTTTGAATGCTTTCTTACTTTAGCAAATTTATTTGTAGGAATTGAAGCTAGAGGATTCATGTTTGGTCCATCTATTGCCTTAGCGATTGGTGCAAAATTTGTTCCATTGCGTAAACCTAGAAAGCTGCCAGGTATGCCTATAACATGTTGAATTTTGAAGTTGGCTATTGTATTCAGACTTATGTGATTGTTGTTTTTCCTTTCTTTCCTTTACTTTTATTTTTTATTTTTTATTTTTATTATTAAAGAAACTGAAACTTTTGTTATTGTCATTTCTCCTTTCTTTCTTTTGCTTCTTTAACAAAGAAATTGAATAAGTATCTCTTGGTGCACTCGGTCTGATCAATACTTTTTGCTGGTTTAATGAATTTATCATTGAATTTAATCTTAATCGAAGGATTGGTAAGTTGGGCAAATAGATTAAAAAAAAAAATTGCATATAGATAAAAATCAGGAAAAAGATTGCTTATGGGTTCCAAGGAATCATATAAATATACTGTTTATCAAGTCAAACTGATATAATTGATAGAAACACTAGAAGTATCTGTTAGAAACTTACACGATGAGTTATGTTTAGCAGAACATGTACTACATTTTGGTTAGCATTCTGCATTTCTCAACATGTGGCACATTTTGCAGAAAGTATATGAGCATTTCTTCTAGGACTCGTGTTTCTTCCCTAAAGGAAAAGGTCCGGTAATCTAGTTGCTGGAAGGACAAAGTAGCTGTTAAAATAAGTAATAATAAATTGAAATAGAGCAATGAAATTGTACTTTGAGTAGATATAACATCATGCTATATATGTATAACATCATGCTATATATGTGAGACATACATCACATCTTCAGTAGGATTTTTACTGCCAGAGAGTACAAGAGACGGGTGTTAAGTATTTTGGGTGTCAAAATGGAATCCACTTAATCAACATTTTTGTTTGCATAAGCAATAAAAATACTCAGGCATGTTGGTTTTCGGGTCTTTTGAGGGAACACAAAAGGGAAAAAGAAAAAGGAAAAGTGATCTCCTTCACGTTCTCTTTTAGATAAGATTTAGAAATAAAAACTTTTCAAAAAGTCACCAATTATTTACTTACATAGTAGCCACACGGCAACTTGGTAATGGATACATGGAGTTTAGTCAGACTCAAGAACAGAGAAAGTCAATCTGAGGTACAAGTGTCGGACCAATGACAGTTTCAGGGCAGAAAGAAGTCAAGGAAAATGTGTAAGAAGTGATGAAGATGCTTATGAAAGTGGGTGCAGAGTTCTATAGTTAAGCATGAGTACTGCAAGGGTATATGGTAGGATATGGTATACAAAGTAGTTACTAAAGGTGTCCTGCATGGAAAGGGAAAGGAGTTTTGTGCGCCACAATTGTCAAGATGTGATCCAGAGTAAGTATAGTAGGCACCCCTCAGAAGGAAATTCGGCTCATCATTCATGAACCTGTCCTTCATTTGCTTTTCTGCCGTATACCTTTTCAATTTCATTAATTCATAGGTCAATTCCAGCCTATGCTTTTCAAAAGGTTGGCAGTAGATCCTCCTATGCCGCCTGTACCACAGATCAACCAGCAAAACCACTTGCATATTTCTCCTGTTCCACCACCTATGTTACATGTACATGGGTGCGTGTGTTGTGTGTGTGTGTATCCAGACGACATATCAAATTCCCAAATGAAGGACACAAGGACACTGCTAAATATTCATAGTATCTAATATTTTTATTTAATTTTGTAGAGTAAACTAATTTCTTTATGTTACATAGTGTTTAATACGGACATTCACTCATTTTGAAGCAATAATATTTTATTGAATAATTCAATGTGCTTTTTTGGTGCATGTCTAACCAAAAGTGTCGGACACATATCCCATACACATGTCCGATTGACACAGACACTTCAATTACTTTCAAAGAGTCCATGTAACATAGTTTACCACCACTAGGACAGACTTCAGTTCTTGCGTTGGCTCCACCTCCTGCTGTTCAACTAGAGCCACAAACAAGAAATGGGATGAATTTTTCAAGGGAATGGTCCGTGTGAGGTTCAATAGAGAAGAGAGGGGGGGGGGGGGGGGGGTGGTGGAGGGGAGATTCCACTAGAGTATGAATTGCAATTTCATCACATTAATAGTGGAGGATAGGGATCAGTTTACTAAATTGATTTAAAAGCAACAGGGTCCAGCTGCGAAGAAGAGATCAACCATTGTTTTCTCCCATGTTTTAGGAGCAATAGTGGGGAAGAAAAGGGAATTGATGAAAAAATATAAAAAATGTCATTCACTTCCTCATATTCTGTTTTCTCCCTTTTTTCCACTTTTACAAAGCAAGAGAATTCTATTTCCTTTACAATATCTTATCCTTTCCCTTGCTAAATCCCCACCAAATGGAACCTACTTGTTTCACACTTCACCAAATAGATGTAATATATAGTAGATAAACGTCTCTCTCTCTCTCTCTCTCTCTCTAACATAAACACATATACATTCCTCACTCATACTGGTGGTCCAGAACTGATCCAATCTTGGTGACTGAATTTTAAAAGCGCCTTTTTTTCAATTGAAAATTTATTATTGTGTTTTTCTTTCTTCCTTTTTCTGGCTGCATTTTATGGAAATGCATGTGGTTAACTTTGTGCTTGAACCTTCGAAATGATGAAATTTTGCAGGAAAAGTAATCTCGGAAGCTTATGAGCTAGAATATGGTACTGACTGTCTAGAGATGCATGTTGGTGCTGTTCAGCCTGGGGAACGGGTAGTGGTAATTGATGATTTGGTAGCTACAGGCGGGACCCTCTCTGCAGCCATAAGACTCCTAGGTAAATTGAGGCCTTTTCTTAAGTCTGCAATCTTTCTCCTTCACTGTGTTCTCTCCTCCGCTGGTTACTATCTTACCCTCACAAGTTATTTGTCTATTTCATTTCTAGAACGCATGGGAGCAGAAGTGGTTGAATGCGCATGTGTTATTGGGTTGCCTGAGGTCAAGGTAAATCCTGAACTATGTCAATTGTGCTAGTTTCTGATCTCACAGCCTCATTAGGCTGCCATATCATTGTTTCATTATTTGTTGTCACGTGAGCCAGCGGTAAGATATCACAAATATGTTTCAAATTATGACTATTTTTATTTGTAATCATTATAGCCTGTGGCTAGAGTTGCCCTTGTTAATGTAGGCTTTTAAAAGATTTTGTTATGGGCTAATTGTCTCTCATTGTCACAGATAGCCAAACAACTCTGAAGGGGGAGGTTGCTAACAGACAATTGCTTTTTTTTTCTTTCTTTTTTTTTTTCCCCGGCAAAGAACTCCCACAGTACTTTTGGGAAGACTTTGCACCCTCTACCTTTCCTTTTGGAAGGAGAGGAGATACCATTTGACCACAGGCCTTGGTAAAGAAGACAGTTGCTGTTGAGGGGCTCAAATTGTGGCTGCATTGTTGTTTTTCCCTTTTATTTTATTTTGGTTTCGAAGGAAAGGTTAAAGCATTAGAGATTTTGCTTATGATCTAAATTCTAATGTTATATTGCTATGAGCAGAGCATCTAATATCTGCTGGTGGTGTTACATGCTTGCTTTATAGTTGAGCTATTCAAGCTCTCAAATTTCATATGTATTATTATTATTATTTTTTATATTTACTCATTATATGCTATCACTGTTGTGTACTTCCAATTTATTTTATACTTTTCTGCATATATACCTTTTTATTTTATTTTATTTTATTTTATGATTTCACATTTTCCAGGGACAGCGCAGGTTAAATGGGAAGCCGCTTTATATTCTTGTGGAGCCTCGCGATATAGAAGATTGTTGTTAAGGTACCACTAACATATATCCTCTTATATTTGAACACTCAGAGATTAATAATACTCAGAAAAGATTTTCCATTACCTGTCCTATGCTTCTGAGTCCTTCACAGTGAGTTTGGGGGACTAAATTTCTGAACATGAATTCAGTTCATTCTCTTTTGGATGCTATATCATGTTCCAATGGGTGTTTCCCATTTCTTGATATTTTTGTTCAGAGCAAGCTGCAGATCCTGCGCGTGCCGCGGGCTGAATTCTATGCAGAAAAGATGGTGGTACATGGGTGACCATTTCCAATGTTCTTCAGCCAGAGTTGGAAGTTTGTTTCGGTTACCCTGAGTTCTGCCTTTTCAGGCGCTTCCCTTCTCTTCCTATTTTCTCTTTTTCCATTTCTGAATTTTTTAACAAATGCTGTCATATTCCATGAACAATTTCGAACAAAGGACGGTTGAAGAACTGCTGATATGACCGCAATTTGTATCCTTTTCCATATAATCAATCAACCTAGTTGAGCATTTTGGAAAAGTTCGAAACTGGCTTTCAGTGACCTTTTGTGCCAATCAGTTTGTTATAAGAATTTATGTATTTTTAATAAATAAAAAAAAGGTAATAAAGAGCAACAGAAACTAAGGGAAGAAGTACAGACCTACCTTTGAACATATATTAGACACATACAATTATACATCTGTCCTTGGGGAAGCGGATCAAGTTGGCTCTTACAAACGGTTTGATGTGCTATCTCCCTTCAACCCTTGTGCGAAATGCGGCAAAAGGAAAGCTTCTCTCATTCCTTTCATCAAAGCATAATGATGCATGCAAATCGGGGAAAGCTTCTCTCATTCCTTTTATTGAGCATAATGATGACTTTAATGACACAACTTAAACGGATGAATTGAATTGGGAGACTTCAGGACCTGCTTTTGCTTTGTGTTTTTGGATTTTGTTAGTGTGCTATAGCAAAACAAAAGCATGAAGCATGTTTTGTAATATTTACTGTACTTTTGAATAGTACTGATGCACTTTCAAAATTGAAGCTCACTATTTAAAAAAAATAATAATAATAAAATCTAAAATAACATTTTTAATTAACCATTCAAATTTTCAAACTAGCAACATTTGCTTACTAAATTTTCATGTTTTTGTTTCTGAAAATTTTGTAACAAATTTATGTTACTAAACAAACTTTTAAATAACGTTGAACACACTCTAAAAGCAGAAACATGGACTTCTGCTTTGGGTCCAAAAGCACAAAACAGATGTTTAACAAGTAAGTTCTACTCTTTTATTTATTTATTTTTTTTTTATTCCAGTAATTTGGTGCCTAGAGTTCCAGTACTCTGGTTGGGCTGTTTAGGCTCACATTATGAATCAATCATTTCACTGAACCCAAGTCAACTCTATCAATTCATTGGTGCAATGAACAAAATAATTCGCTAGAGTACAATACAAATTCTGTTAAATTGGATTTGCTTCTTTAGTCAAATTGTAGGCTTTAAGTGAAACATGCCAATCATTTTCATTATTCCAAGAGTACAAATTAAAATTAGACAGGTTGAAGTTCAATAATACCTTTCAGTGCGTCCACAATAATGCTCTTGGACCTCAAACCATAAGTAACCAAGCTTACATAGCATTAAACTGTATCACTTCTCTAGCCACCTTATCAGACTAAGGCACTCGTGGATAAAGGAAATTGATCTGATTTCTTTTCCCCCGTTATTCCAGGTCAATTGGATATGAATACAACTCTGAAGGGCAATCCTTCTGAGAGAACTCATACATGGATCCATAGAATTACATGGGCAACTGTTTCGTGTATAAGGATTCAACTGTTTGAAGCACTAAACATCTGATTACCCACAATGGTGATTAAGGGCCGCCTTATACTTCTATATGACAAAATTTACAATATTCACCTCAATTTTTATCTTCCTAAAAAGTTATTTAGTACAATTTTTAGTGAAGGAGCTTCCACATCTTTCTCATCGGATGAATTATCCAATTTGAGAGCACAGCGGATCAGAGAGTTGACCTGTTTTCTCAATCTAGCATTATCAATGAAGATATCTGTTAGCATCTTCCTCAACTCATCATGCATTGTCCTTCTGTCATCATCAATGTCACCATTTCCATTGTCTACAGCGTAAACAGCATTCCCATCATCTTGAGCTAAGTTTTGTGCCTGATCAAATTTTCATAGTATGAGGTACAAACAGTTACAATGGGAATAATAATAATAACAATAATAAAAATAGACTGAAACAACAATATGTAAGGGAATGAATCTAATCAAGAAGCATATGTTACATACTGCATCAATTACCGTCAAACTGTCTCATTGTACTCATACTTTGCCACTATCTATATGTATGTGTGTGTGTTGTGTAAGTGCCACTGCAGAAAATAAGTGCGTCAGTTCGGAAGAGTGACATAGTCTACATTGAGGGTGATACTAGGGAAATAGGAAGACCAAAGTTAACGTGGGTAGAGTTAGTAAGGATGGACATAGCATTGTGGATTGACCAAGGCTATGGCCTTAAACATAGTAGAAAAGAAACATATGATTCATGTAGTCAAACCCAAGTAGTTGGGAAAAAGGCTTGGTTGTTGTTGTTGTTGTATACAAGTACTACTGCTACATATATTGAGTTATGGTCACTAAACACATCTGATTATAAAAAATTAAGAGGCTGTAGATTTTATCTAGTATCATTGAAATGCATGGACATCTGTAACTAAACTTGGATGAATAAGTATGGATGCATCAATTTGGTGTATATTACTCCTTGACAACGATTTACACCCAACTATTGAATTCAAAGAAAGTACTTTTTGCTAACAACAAATCACCAGGCAAGCCAACAGGGATTTTCTGTATTCTCCACATAGGATTCACATTCACTCTCTTCAGGAATTTGTGGAGGACGACGTTTTTGCATCCTTTGATAGTCAACAATTATGTTTTGTATCTTTTGCTATAATTGGCTTCATTCTGTGAGCTTGAAGGATTCCACACCATTCTTCTTGTATTTTATTATTTTTTTGAAGGATTCATTATCCTTCTTATTGTATTTTCTTCTTTCTATTTGTACCAAGATCTTCTTGGTTTAAGATCATTTAATAATTCTGAATATACGACCCCCTCCTTAAAAATTTCTATTTCTGTAGGAACTAGTACACACTATATCAGCATGCCATTTGTCCATAGTAGCATATAATTATGCTGTAGTTCATCCATACAACTAAACAGGAGAAACACCCATACGCTATCAAAAGTTATTAGTTAAAAAATATATATATCAAGTTCAATTATTTTAGAAATACTATAATATGAATACAACAATATTACATATTTACTTTTAAACATAAGATGACCGTCCCTTGGTATAGTCCATAGTCTGTACAGTAAATTTGGCATTTAAAGTAATTATGTTTTTCATGGAATCATGAAAATTTCAAGGCCTTGAATGCTAGGCTAATAGCTAAACACCTAAAGCATAAATCTAAAGTAATGCACTTCAGCTTATCTAGCCTTTTTGTTGACCTAAGAAACATGAATATATTACGCCACAGATCCATCAACAACAAATCATAAAAAAGTAGATTACAGACATGCAAAAAGATATATTACACATGGGAAATAAATATTTTATACCTATAATATGCGAATACAATTATAATAAAATGTGTAGCATAGAGAAAGATATAAAAAGCACAACTTCTAGTTGTATGCATGTAGAAATGTATATGTATATATAAGCGAGTACCTTGATGACATGTGGTCACTCATTCAATAAAACCTTCCTATATATTTGCTTTTAGTTATCCTCAAACTTTATATAAACCTTTTGTCGAGAGATATAAAAAATTGAAGTGAGAAATTAAACATGAAGAACACAACGAAAGACACACAATCACCTTTATTATATTTTCTCTTAATATTGTTTACAATCAGCACCTCTATGTATGGGTGAAAGAACACAAACGATAAATATGGAAAATACATTGATGGAGGATTCCTAAAATCAATTCCATAAATCACTCTAATCAATATTATATCATAGGTAGTGTTTAATAAATTTCAGCAATATGATGGTAATTACATAATAACTTAAAAGTTGTAGTTTTGTAAAACAATTTTATACCTAAACAATTAGATATTTATCCTTATATTTTAGTTCAAGTTCGAACCCTTGGACGATCATCTTTGACTCTCTCCCACCAACCAAGCTTCATTACCGGTGGATGGTCTCTCTATCTATCTCTCCTCTTTTTTCTTCTTCTTCGTCCTCCTCTTTTCTTTCTTTCTCTTGTTCTTCACAGATCTTAAATGCTTCTTTTTTATCCTTCACAACAAATTTATTTTTGCATTTCTTTTTCCTTTTCCCTCTATTCCCCATGAACTTTTTTCTATTCTATGGATTCTTACCTTTATTTTTAAGTAAGGCCTAGTTCTTTTTCTAACAAAACCCTAATTCTCTTTGTTTCTTTGTTTTTTTCTCTCTTTCTTAACCGTCGCATTCTTTCTTTTTCCTAGCAAAACAATTATTATTGTTTCTTTGTTTCTTTGTATTTTTTTTTTATATTTTTTATTATGAGGTTGTAACAACTAATATTACTCTTAATTTCTTAAAGTACAACACAAATATATAAAAAATACATTTATTATTTGCCGTGTCTGTGTCCTAATTTTTCTGGATTTGCCGTGTCGCCGTATCCGTGTCATGTCATATCCGTCGTTTCCGTCACCGTATCCGTGTCATGTCATATCCGTCGTTTCCGTGCTTCTTAGGTACACATAGAATTTTAACTTTGTCTGGTAAAGAACAGTGGCAGCAAGTAGAGAACAGTGGCAGCAAGTAAAGGATTTTAGAGCTCAACCCTTAATTTGGCACATGTTAGGTGAAGTGGGGTCCACTTGCAGTCTTGCATAATTGGAGGGATTGGGTCAAATTGCATAATTTTGGTAAACTGCATCAATTATTGTGATAAATTGCATCAATTAGGTCAAATTGCATCAATTAAGTTATTTGTTACTTTTATTATACTAGAGTCAAATTTTGATTACCTCAATTGTAGGGTAATCCAAGGGTCATCAGTGTTATACAAAGGATACTATGTACTCTGATTACTCAGTCAATGAATGAATAAAAATATCTTTGAAATTTCTTTGTGAGTGATTCACAGATTATGAGGGTGAGAGGCCTTCTCTAGGTGTAATGCTTAGGCCCGGTTGGGGTGATTCCAATAGGTTTTTGTTTTTTGTTTGTGTGATGCAATAGGCTTTTTCTTATTTTCAAATCCTTTCTATCTCTTGAACCATAATCTGTTTCTCTGACCCTGTTGGTGTGATGCCAAGATGCAGCTCTTATTCTGTTCTCCTTGATTTCCTATATTTCTACTATCAAACCTCCTTCAGCCCTAGTTGTAAGAACTTTCAAACTCTGAATTCTTTGAGTTCTTAGCTATTTAAGGCTGCTCTCTTGTCCTACATCAGTTTTTTGTATCAAAGCTAAGTAGACATTATGTTTACACGACCGGGAAACGGAAGTTTGGATAGCAATCAGGAGATTGAGTTGTTGCAACAGATTTTGGAACAACATAAAGGTCTGAATACTCGATGCATTGAGATATGAGCTCAAATTTTGCGGCCTTTTAACAAATCGGTAGCCCTTGAACAAGAAACTGCGTTCAGCACTAACGATGGCAGAAAACAGGAGCAACACCAGCCTTTAAACTCTCAGCAAAGGCCTAATGTGAAGTCCAATCCACCACTACCTCCCATGTTGGAGTTTCCAAGAAATCCATTAGAAGTGAATCATCATGAACCACATGATGCCGCTGGAGATATTCCAAAGAAGTCGAGTGATGGAACGTCCAGCACACCGACAATAACAATGCTGCCAAATGGTGGATCAAATGCATCTTTCTATAACGTGGCTTATTCTAAAGGAAAGAGTATGATGGCTAGCAAGGATCATGAAAACCTGCTTGATGATGAGACTTGCAACACTGATCATCTGAAAGAAGTTGGAGAGAATGTTTCCTCCATCTCCGTTGTGACGCACATCCTTGAAGACTTTAAAGTTGGTGGCAAAGATGGGCAGCAGACATCTAATTTTCAGATGCAAGTTCGTCGTGGAAATGGCGGAAGTTGCATGAATGTTGTGTCCGCAGCCACAGTTGAGTGCCTCAAGCCTTCGATCCAACCACGTCCACAACCATTCAAAGTAGCTTGGATAGATATTACCTCTACTCTGAATCTGCCAAAAGATGCAGCTATTGGAGTAGATACTTGGTGTATATTAGTGGGCACTGCAAAGAAACAGGAGCATTCTTGTGCCAAGAAGCAACAAAAGCTGGTTCAAACATCCACCAACTTGGTAGATGAGGTCTGGAAAAACCAACCACCAGAAGAAACTAATCCTGTAACTAATAAGCTAGAGGGGTCTTGCGCATCAAAAGAGCATTTTAGAGGGTTAAGTTTTCCTACTATTTCCTCAGCTAATGCAACAATTATGCATTATAAACTAGAGGAGAAAACATGTTTAGGACTTGATCCAAACAACATTTGTCTATACGATTCGGGAGCACACTACCTAGATGGAACAAACCGGGTTGCTCTTTTATGTTCTTGCTCGAATACATTCATGGAAGGACAGCCTTGATTTTCGACATGGTACTGGCCATGGAGTTGGTATCAGAGGTGATGGGTGGGGTTGCCTAGAACTAGTCGAGACATGATGCTATAATCATTGTTCTGGATCGTTTTTCAAAAAGGCGCATTTCCTCCTATGTTCTACGACCTCCAATGCTGTCCACAATGCCAAACCTTTTTTTCAAGAAGAAGTCCGACTTCATGGGTTGCAACAATATTGTTTCTAATCGAGCTTTGAAGTTTATGCATTGTTTTTGGTGCAAATTATGGAAATTGCTGAATAGAAGGCTGAAATTTTCTTGCTCTTTTCACACTTATGAGCAATTTCATCCCTTTAACTCGTCGGAGCCGAGTTTTTTCAAGCCGGAGAGAATTGGTAGAGAACAGTGGCAGCAAGTAGAGGACGGTGGTAGCAGCGTGTGGGATTCTAGAGCTCAAGCCTTGATTTGGCACATGTTAGGTGAGATGGTCCACTTGCAGTCTTGCATAATTGGAGGGACTGGGTTAAACTGCATAATTTTGGTAAACTGCATCAATTATGGTGAAATTGCATTATTGTGATAAATTGCATCAATTATATCAAATTGTATCAATTAAGTTATTTGTTACTTTTATTATACTAGAGTCAACTTTTAATTACCTCAATTGTAGGGTAATCCAAGGTCATCAGTTGTTATACAAAGGATACTATGTAACTCTGATTACTCAATCAATGAATGAATAAAAATATCTTTGAAATTTCTTTGTGAGTGATTCACAAAATTATGAGGGTGTGAAGCCTTCTCTAGGTGTGATGGCTAGCCCTGTTGGTGTGATTCCAATACGTTTTGTGTTCTGTTGGTGTGATGCCAATAAGCTTTTTCTTATTTTCAAATCCTTTCTCTCTTGAACCATAATCTGTTTCTCTGACCCCGTTGGTGTGATGCCAAGAGGCAACACTTATTCTATTCTCCTTGATTTCCTACATTTCTACTATCAAACCTCCAAATTTCAGCCCTAGTTGTTAGAACTTTCAGACTCTGAATTCTTTGAGTTCTTAGCTATTTAAGGCTGCTCTCTTGTCTTACATCAGTGCCGAACTTGAAACTTAATACGAAGGTTTTTTTATTTTCCTGAATAACCAAATACGAAGTTGTTGAGAGCCCGAGACGAGTTGATCCGGAGATCCCAAACAAGTTGATCAAAAAATCCCAGATGAGTTAAGTATAGAGTAGGTTATGATAAATCTGCTTTAATACCATGTTAACAACCATCTACTCCAAAAGCTTAGGCTATATATATATATATATTTATAAGTAAGATTTTATAAAAGGCGCTTAAAAGGGGAGCGCTCCCAAAGAAGACAACAGCCATCCAAGACGACACTATAGCTTCAAGCTATCCACAAAATCCAAAAGGGAATCCATTGAATTACAGTCCTGCCCATTTATCCAAAAGAATAAAGAAGTAAGAATACTGTATTTAATAACCCAAATGGGAGACTCCTCTCCCTACAAAAATCATATATTTCTCTCATGCCACAGGCCCCACGAAATACAAAGGGGAGTGGCCCTCCAAGCATCTCTGACTCGGCTCTCCACTGTACACCATTTCCAAGTCTCTAACAAGTCTACCGTGGATTCTAAGAACACCCATGGAAGACCAAAAGCAACCAAAAACAAAGACCAAACATCCCTAGTCACCGAGCAATGAATAAGAAGATGGTTGACAGATTCACCCGTTATCTTGCACAAACAGCACCTGTTAACCACAACATGACTCTTTTTTCTAAGATTATCAATAGTTAGGATGCTTCCCCAATCAGCGGTCCATGAGAAGAAAGCAACCTTCAGTGGAGCTTTCGACCTCCAAATGGCCTTCCAAGGAAAAATGGGGCCCGGACGCTCCAACATACAATTGTAGAATGACTTAACCTCGAAAACCCCTCTTGAGGTACCCACCCACAGCATCTCATCCATGCCCACCCCAACCACCACCTGGCTACAAATGAAGGCTAGGAAGTCTGAAACTTCCAAAAGTTCCCAATCATGGAACTGTGTCACCCTCCCATTATCGAGACGATAATAGTCAGCAACCATAGCATCTCTAAACACAGCAGTCCGGTAAAGATACGGGAATTTGAAGGCTAAAGCCAAATCCCCACACCATCTGTCTTCCCAAAACCTGACATAACTCCGCTTCTAACCTTGAACCGAATAAGTTTAGAGAATTCATCCCACCCTCTACGTATTAGCTTCCAGGAGCCCATTCCTGCTGGGGTTCTAGCCTCGTTTGAGTGCCACCCTCCATCTCCCTCCCCATAATGACAAGCGATAACGCACCTCCAAAGCTTGGTCCTCTCTCTTCTAAACCTCCACAACCATTTGCCCAACAATGCCTTATTAAACACATCCAACCTTCGAATACCCAAACCCCCCTTATTAAAAGGGGAACACACTCTCTCCCGTTAACCAAGTGGTACTTGAACTCATCTCCTAACCCGCCCCACAAAAACTTCCTCTGATAACTGACTTAGGCATCGGAAAGAACGACATAAAATAGGTCGGGAGATTTGAGAGCGTGCATTTCATAAAAGTAACCCTCCCCCCTTTGGACAAATATTGCTTCTTCCAACATGCAAGCCTCCTCACGAACCTCTCAACAATTGGATCCCACACAGCAACTCTCCTTAACGAGACTCCCAAAGGGAGTCTTAAGTAGGAGATTGGGAGAGAGCTAACACCACACCCCAGAGTATCAGCCAAAGCTTTAACATCCTCCACCTCACCAACAGGGACAATCTCACTTTTCCCAATGTTAATCTTCAACCCGAAAACAACTTGAAAGTAGGCTAACACACACCGTAAATACCTCAACTGAAGGAGGCTAGAATCACAAAAGACAATAGTGTCATCCGCAAAGAGCAAGTGGGAGATGACTAACTGATTTGGAACTCTGCCCACTGGGAATCCCTGAATGAACCCAAGCTGTCCCGCCCTTCCCATCAGTCGGCTAAAAGCCTCCATAACAATGATAAACAAGAAAGGGGAAAGAGGGTCCCCCTACCTCAAGTCAAGAGAACTGGCAAAGAAACCAACTGGGGATCCATTCACTAAAACCAAGAAACGAGCAGTTGAAATACAGAAAAGAATCCACGCCCTCCACTTCAGCCCAAAACCCATTATCTCCATCAAATACAACAAAAAATCCCAACAAACATGATCATAGGCCTTTTAGATATCCAGTTTGCACACAATACCCGGAATCCCACTTCTTGCCCTTGCGTCAATGCATTTATTCGCAATCAAAACTGAGTCCAGAATTTGACGCCCTCCAACAAAAGCATTCTGGGAGTCCGAGATCACCCCATTGAGGACTCTCCTCAACCGAATGGCCAAGACTTTCACAATAATCATAGAGAGGGCGTAACTTAAATATATAAATCCTTCAACACCTTTAAATTGAATTTTCTTACAATCATCACTTAAAAGAAAGTTCATATCCAACATTCAAGGTTCATTTATCACATTACCGAGTGACCAAGAAATATTGGCCATTTTCCGAATTCAAACAAAGATTATGGATATGTCCAACTGTCTAAGATGTAACAGACACGTGCCCAATAGCATCCGTGAAGTGTCAGTTTCTAACATACACAACTCCCTAGAAGTCAGAAGTCTCTGTGCTTCTTAGTTGATGACTATATCCACGATATTATGAAGTAATAAAACCCATATGTAAGCAAATACCTGAAAATTTGAGTCTTCTCGCTCTATTTCAGAAGGCAAGTACGCCTCAAAACTCAAATAAGAAGGGAAAATAACTCTGCAGAATTTGGTGCAACTTAATGTTAACACACAGTATCTAAATCGTGTAATCATAACACAAATGCTACGTGACCATTGCATAAAGATACAAGGAAACGAGAGAATATAAACTTTGAGTATCTCAAATAGACTACTTCCTAACAAAGAAAATGCAACTATTGGATCTTCATTGCAAAAGATAAATCTGGAGAAGTGTGTCAAGTAATGAGAAGCAGCGACAAAAATCAAAGGTGACAAATGAAAAACACAAAGAGGAGGCAAAAGATCACCTCTGCAAGAAGGACGCCAATCTGGTTGTCAGACGTTGTTAGGAGATCCAAGGCATCTGATACTGATGAAGAATCCATGACTAGTTTATCTTCATTTTCAGTGAGGAAATTGTTGCACTCTTGAAGCCGACTATGAAGAACCGCACATTCATGAAGCAGCTTCCTCCAAGCAGATTCCACATGCTTGGTTCTTTCTTTTTCCTGCTGAAGGAGTCTCTGAAGGTACACCACAAATTTCAGGAACACAGGATAAGTTAAAATCTTAATATCACTCACACAAGTTTCTAATGTGAAGCAATTTTACCATGGAATGTGAATAGATTTGAAATTAAATAGTAGTAAAATTCGAATTACTTTTTTATATTTCCAGAAGTGACAGGAGATATAGAAAGACAATGATGAACATATGCTTTGGAGGTAATTTTTTACCTCCGCCTCGGCCTTCTCTTTCATTGATTCACTATGCTCCTGCTTCAATTGTACTTGAGAACTTCTGAGAGATTTAACCTCTTTAACAAGGACTTTAATATCCATTTTTGATTTCACTTCTAACTCTTCATGTCGCTTCAACAAGTTCTGAAGCTGCTGTCTAGTAGCATCCAACTCCTGCAGCAGTGCATCTTTCTCCTGAATGACGGATACTTTTGCTGGCTCAGTATCTAACTTTGCATCCTGTAAGGTTTCAACATCAATCACAAAATCATCGTAGTACTTGACCGAGGAGTCACACTAACAGGATAAACAAAAAGATAAACAACCTGTTGAGAATTGAGTTTCAACTCCATTTCCAATGACTTTCGTCGAAGTTCCTCCATATCCCACTGCATCTGGGTGAATCCTTCCCTTTCAATTAAAATAGCTTGCTGAAGGTTTTCTTTACTTTTCTGTTTTGTAGTTTCAAGTTCCACTTCCAAATCCGTCACCTGGGCAGAAGAAATCAGTTATGGCCATCTATATTACTATAATTCTATTTAGGGACAAAGAAAAAAAATCAGTTATGGCCATAGTATAATATAGTATCAATGTGTAATTTCATGATTCTAGATCGTCCGTAAGGACATTACACAAAAAAAAATTTGAATATGTAGACAATTCAAAGGCAAATCAGATACCATGTTTCGCATAAAGACAAAATTTCAAAATTAATTAAAAAATTTTGCAGAATCCAAGCGACTTATCCTAAATATGAGGATGAAAATTAGATAACATAGGACAATGATATTCAGTGTTATGCTTTGTTAGGTCAATAGGATTTTTTTTCCTCTTTAGGTAAATAGGATTTAAGTGGACTGATTTTGTACACAACTAGAGTCTGTACGTTTTATTTTTAGCTTTTGATTTTGGGTTCAAAAGTTGGTTAAAGTAGTGGAGTTGCCTCACTACAAGGGCAACAGAAAATTCAAAGCTTCAACAAGGATATTAAGAGGTAAATTCAACCCTCAATTTATGCACTCGCTAAAATTAGGGTTCCAATATATGTGTTTATATCACCAAACATAGTAATTTTTGAATTTGCATTTTTTTTCATTAAAATTAAGTTTTAAAATGCTTATTGTTTCAGAATTCCTAATTGAACTAGGATAGAGGAGTTCAATCAATCAAAGCCCACTGAACTAAGTTCAGCAGATCGAACTAGACTTCGTTACTTGGGCACAAAGAACTTTCACTCTGCCAACCCTAATCTCTTTCAGCCTCCAAGATCTATGAAAAGACCTTATGCTTTCAGGAAAAAACAACTTAGCATCTTCAAGCATCCATAGAGCATAAACAGGTATTATAAAGTAATTGAGAGTGCCTTCTGGTAAATTAATTCCTTGATTTTGTTTCTTTTATACATTATCAATTCATTTAGATGACGAGTGTGGGTTGAGTGTTGACAATCAATAATCCTAGAGATTCAAGGATATCAATGTCATGAGCAAATTTCAAAAGCAACAGAGACTTGGGTGTTAACTAGTCTTGGAGATCAGCGCATGGATTGAAAAGTGAATCAAGTGAGGAGCGGGATTGTTGACTGGTAGTAGCAGAATTCGAGAAGAACATCTGGCATGATTCTGGGTCAGAGGTAACTAGGGGATTCTTGGGTTTAAAGTTAGTAACCTAGTTTTTTTCCCCTGAATGTGGGGATTTTCCGACTTTATTGATACTGAAAAATAGTACAAGATACAAAGAAAGAGGGCAAGAACAGCCCTCAAAAGAGATCGAGAAGATTTATAAAAAAATAAAAAGAAAAAAGAAAAAAGAGAAAGAAAAAAGCAAATATGCCAGATTTCCAGACTGCTGAAGAGAATGCATCAATAAACTTTGGATCTCAGTTTTGTTGCTGTTGAGAATGGCAACACCAAATGCACCAAATCCGAGAAGGTGTGAATATTCTGAAAACCATTCCAGTGGCATAGATCTGCAAACCACTTCCACACTTGCTGTGCATAAGAACATGACCACATCAAGTGATCAAGAGTATCAGCACCTTTGTAGCAGTTGTGACAGATAGAAGTGTAAGTCCTCTTCTCATTAAGTTGCAGACCTTTCACTAGTGAATTTGATCTACCTAGATTAAGTCCCATGGTTTTACTGTAAGAGGTTTTCCACGTAACAGTTTAGTGCTTTTGTGTGGATGTTTTTTATGTTTCATTCTTACAATTCTGCACTATGCCTATTTTGCATCTTGAATTTAAGTTTTTAAGTCGGGTAAAATTTCAGTATTAAGTAGTTTAATAGATCTTAAGACTAATTCACTGTCTCTAGGTCTAATTTGGGGCCTTTGTGTACTCTTGCCCAGGCATACGATCCTTATATACCATATATCTTTATCAAATTAAAGAAAAATGATGTGAAATTTGATTTAAATTGTCAATAAGTAGGTGCAAGATGCAAAATTTAAAAATCAATATTATTTTTCATGTCACATGAATGAATAAAAAATTAGTATGTTTATAATTGGGATAAAAGGGTTTCAACAGAATCAATGAAGTATTTCTCAGGTGGTGGAGTTGAGGCATGGTTTCATAATTCCAGGGGTGGACAGATTTAAAAGTTTGACATGACCAAGATTTTTTCTTTTTCTTTTTCCCATAACGAGGAACCGTTCTTAGTAGGTGCCCTTTGGACTCGTGGTTACAACATAAACCCCAACTCTCTGACGGGTTGACCAAGATTGTCTATGATTCAATGAAAGATATATCACAATTACTAGTCTGTATGTATCACTATATTTTGAAAACAAAAGGAGGAGGGGTGAAGATCACACAAATAAATAAAATATCAATATATCATGGATATTCAAGGTTGTCGAAACTCAATACTTAGGAGACAATTTTGGATTAATGTAGGCTGTGGGAGTCTTCAGGATCCACTCTAAGGATCAGATTGAGATCATGAGATTCTACAGAATAGGAAATATAATACCTAATAATACTTGTATCTTAAGAAAAATAAGACATGGACAAATCTAAAACTCATGTAAGTGAAAATAATTTTGGAGCACATTAAACCTCACAAAAATTAATATTGTTAGAATAAAAATGTTTGATTTAGATAGCACTTTCCGTAATAGCACATTATAGCATTAGATGAAAATACAAGCAGGGGCGGAGCAGGGAATATTCATTTGTTGTTGTGTGGGGGGGTTTTTTCTAATTCATTTTTAATGTATATGTTTTAAGAGCATATCTATAAATGATATGAGAAGAATAGTTGACAACAGATAAATGAGGTTGTCAAGTGTCAAGCATTCATTTTCTTCTCTCTTTAATTCATTAAAAAAAAAAATGCATATACATATAATTATATATGTAAAATAACAAATAATATGCATATACATATAATTATATATGTGTACGAATATACATGTAAGGATTTATGCATATAAACAGAGTTATAATATATATGTTATAGCTAGCAAGGATTACAATAATAATTAACATATTTTTATTAGATTTAAATTTTTTAAAGCAAGACCAAAAAGGTTCATTTAAACAGGAAAATTAAATAACCAGAAAAAGGGAATTTTATTAAAAATTTTGGGGGGGGAACTTTAATTTTCCTACACAAATTCATCATTAATAACCATTAACAATTAGCATTAAAAGAGTTTGTGAAAAAAAAAAAAAAAAAATTGGAAAATCATTAATAACCATTAACAAGAAGTTGAAGAATCATTATATATTACGACTCATAAATGCAAGAAAAGAAGTTCTATTTTAAAATATCCAAGCCACTTGGTCAGAAATAAGTTCTATACCAGAGTGCGTAACATACGGAGGAAAGAACAAAAATGAGCGTTAAGATTTATGTAACTAAAATATACATTAGCCTCAATCAAACTTACTAATTTTCAAGAGAGGATGAACAAAATTTAAGGAATGAAGTACAGTTTTTTTTTTTTTTTTTGGGACCATTGCATAGTATAGCAAAACAACATTAATAAAATGAAAATGAAACAGCACACACTACTAAAATAACAATAATGATGATAACAACAATACTAACAACATTATTTTAAGGTTAAAAAGTAATATCTTTATAATAGGGAGTTATTTTGGGATCTCAAAATTTTATAGCAATTCCACTAGGATTAGACCCTCCTAAATTCTGTATTTTTGGATCGTAAGACCGCAGGACCGAAGGATCCAGATCGAAATTTTAACAACGCTAAAAAAGTAGATACTGAGCACCTGAGAAAAAAGGAAATATTGCAAATATGTTTTTCAGTAGGTAATAGTTTGGGTGTTTTATTCCCTGCTTTTCATGTTTAAAATAGTCTCCAAACGTTTCCTATTTAGTGATGGATCTGTTTCTTTGGTAATGGGAATTTTCTTTGAATCCCCTACAACTACTTATTAGTGGTCTGATTAAAAAATATATGAAGATCTTGCCAGCATGCGCACATGTAAAATTTTGTCCATGTGTCTATCCCATTGTTCTACATATCCGTCAAGTTACAACTTGGTTCTAAGTCCGATGAACACCGATATATTGATGGTAAATAAGAATCACATCAGACTCGTCCAAAGTTCCTAGTAACTAGGCCAAGTCTCGTCTGAGTGTCTTTCGAGTCCATAGTGACACACCCAAGTCAGATGGCGTGCAAGGTCTGAAAAAAATTTCACAATCGAGTTTTCAGATACCATTAAGTAATGCCCGTTACACTGCATTTGTTGGACAGAAACCATATCCGCATATTATTCAGGGTTTAAAGTAATGGTCATTGGTGTATGTAATGACCATTACATAATGGTAACACCAGGATTCTGTCATTATTTTCAAGACCATAATGACCACAGCAGTGGCATAACAGTTTGTAGCAGACTGTAATAACATCGTAATGGCTTCTTGTGCAATAACAATCAAGAGAAACCATAAGCACGAAGAGCACTCTCTTCAAATTCATTTTTTTCTTTTTTCCCCTAAAAAAATTCAGTTCCTATTCTATCTAAAAACACATACACATAGATTTACTTTCCACAACAAGCAATTCATAATCTTGAAACTAAGAACTTGGATCAATAGCTTGATACATTTCATTCAATCAATAAATTTTGAGCTTTTATTTTCCTATTTTCACTTTATTTTTTGCTTCATTTAGTTAGTCTTACCTAAATTTATTAATTGTTTGATATGATATCTAAATTCTTAAGTGATTGTACGTAGGTCTCGTTCCAAATCTATCAATCTACACCCCTTTCCACAGGTTTATGCAACATTAAAACTAGAATGCTGATCAAGCATGCTTTATTGAAAAAATATTACTACTATATTTTCATGCTTAAGTGCATTTATGGCTATTAAAGTAACGAGATGTAAAAATAAGTAGGCGCTAAATTTAAATTTACTATAAAACTCACAAACCATATTAAATAATTTTTGTTAATCAAAAAGTTCATGAAAAATAATTAAACCCAAATTTATGAGATTTGAGATGAACATTTTTACCATTACATTTTACTAGGAGCAGGTAGGGCAAAAAATATTCAACACCTGTTACGTTACACCATGGTATTTCCACCATGACTGTTAACATTACAACAGTCATTACTGTCACCTGAAATGATGGTCTCTGATGGTAGATTCCATCAAATAGAGTAGTTTAATGGACTCTATCATAATTAATATACTCTAATGGATTCTATTACATTCAGTTTGACACAACAATATATGGTAGAGCATGGTGAATATAATCTGGCATACCTTTGTCGTGAGGTAGTCTTTTACAGCTATTTCTTGATGTAATCTTGATACAAGATCCTCCATGTCCGTTTTTGCCGTGACCAGTCTCCGCTGCATGGCCACAAGAAGCTTGTTCATATTATGGCGCTGATCCGATGGAAGAAGTAATTGTGCATCACTTGAAAAATGTGATTCTGCGTTGCTAAGAACATCCACAGTTCTAGAAACCTCAGCACCTCCAGGAAGGTCGAGAAGGCCATCACCAAGTGAGTTAGGAAACCCCAAATTTGATGATTCACTACCTCTTAAAGAACTTATGTCACTTCCGACACTCTCAGTTGAGAGCTTGCGAGCATGACCAATTACCTTTCCATGCTCTGACTCAGACAGAAGTCCCATCCTGTTCCCAGCAAGATAAGAAGCTTTAGAATCTCCATTATCAATATTATTCCTTATAACACTGTTAATCTCTCTGGCATGCAATTTATGCCTAGGAAAACCTTCAAGCTCCTCTAAAATCGCCTGTCCCATAAACAAGCCTTCATCAATATTGGACATGCCATACTTCATAAACTTTTCTATTGGGCTAGTCAAATCTTCATCCAGTGACAAATCTTCAGTACCAACTTCAGAATTGTTATCCCGACCAAGGCTTGCTGTTCCAATATCAGATGGTTCATAAGCAGTATCACTACCATAATCCGATGTGAGTGATGTACTACCAGCAACCATGGATAAACTTGAACTGGGATGAACTTGAACAGAAGAATTTGTGCTATTGATGGAAGTATTCGCTTCTGAAATGTTCTGGTTTTCATTTTGGAATGCTGATAAGAATTATAGTGTGGAATCAAATGTTAAAACTCTAAATTAACTATTGAAGAAACCTTAAATACAATTTGATATTTTAGCATGATCTATATTCTATCAAATAATCCATTTAGATTAAGTGATAAACAATTTTCAAAAGCAAGCATAGGGCAGCAAAATGAGACATACAGGACCTAGCAGCAGCTTCCAGTTCAAGGAAGGATGCCACTGCAACACTTCTAGACAATTCAATATCTGATAGTAATTTTGCCGTCCACTCTTCCAAAGAGCACCGTCTCTGCAACAAAATTAAGCCTTTTGTGAATCTTAATCATCCATACAAAACTGCAACAGTGGAGATTTAGTTACCTGAAAGATTCATTTAATGTAATGAGAACAAATAATACCACCTCATGTCAAACATATGTGCGAGACTCACACATGATTTTACATTTTCTACAAACTTCCACCAATTACTTTAACTTACCTAGTATGGAAGTAAATCTTGCTCAGAATCTCTATGATACAAATAAGAAACTATATTAACCAAAGGCCCTCTAAGTGAGCGTTTCCTCCAACTCCTGTGAAAACTTTATGACAAGAAAGTAGACTTAAAAAAAAAAAAAAAAAAAATCCATGCTTGTCTTTGCTAACTAGTCAGCTCATTTTCATTGTTGTGTCTGAAACAAGCCTTCACTTGATTGGCTTTTGGGCAGTCTAAAATTGGAGCAAATCCACTCCAAAGTAAAATGATGTAGCACATCAACTTCCATTTTGAATAGGAAGGAACAGACATTCAACGATGATTTATCACTACGAGTATAATCATGTGCTAGCATTTAAAAAACTCAGATGAGGCATTTCTCTCGCAAATTTATAGTCTTCTTACCAGAAATTTCCACTATAATTAACAAACCACCCAAACTCCCATGGCAACTACCTTTGTTGGTAAATTGTTGACTTGTTAACAGCTCTTGAATTTAATAGGGGTGGCAATACTTGACACAACATGCTAACACAAGACAGAATAAGTGGATTTGACTTTGGCTTAATTGTGTTTGTGTCGTAATCGTGTTGACCCGAATTGAAAAGCTAATTAAACGTGTTGTGTTTGACCCGCCAACCCGTTTATAACCAGATTAGACCCGTTTAACTAAACGTTCTTTATTCATGTTAGATATGACCCACTTAACTAAATATGTTGTGCATGTTAGAAATGACCCTAGTAGTATGAAATTTTAATTATATATGTCTTGTCGTGTTAAGTCTTGACCCCTTTATTAAACAGCTTATGCGGATAGTGTCACATAAGCTGTTTAATAATTGTGTCGCGTTCATGTCAAGATTCCTTGACATGAAAAATAATAATGTCGTGTTTGTCTCGACCTATATAACAGAATATGAATACCCATATCATGACATAACACAATACAACACAAAAACACAAATTGTCACCCCTAATCTTCTAACTCATCTAGTTGGGCTTAACGGTCTAGATAGTAGCTTACAAAAAGATATCTTAATGCAAATTAACCAAAATAGTTCACCCAGGCTAGGTATTTCTAAAATATTCAAAAAGTCAACCAGTATAAGGTGATTTAGACCAGTTCCAATAAATTATTTTTGCCTAGACAATGCTCACATGAAACTAGGCTCAGGTCATACACACAGTCCACCAGGCCATATATATCATAATCAGGCAAGTCAATAAATATGTTAGATGGTTCACAGAGAAATTTAACCTATGATGATCCCCACTAGGACTGGACAATGTGGACATGAACCCTGCTCAGTTTGCCCAAAAACCACATGGCCAGATTACTAGGCAAGCTGATTATGAATCGTGAGCAATTTGATAACCCAAAATTAAGAGTATCTAGGAAAAAAGAAGAGTCCAGATTTAAAACTAGAGTCCAGCTTATGACCATGACTGTGGAAGATTACTTATGTATATCATGAAGAAGGGACTTACATGGAATTGGAGACAATGGAGTGACTTTTGAATTTCGACACTGAAATTCTTTCTTCGCATCAAGGGCACTCCAGCTGGTTTCTTCAGTAACGAGAAAAGGATTAAGCAAGAAGAGCCATTCTATCCTTTTCTCTTTATCATGATGGAGGCCTTCACCTGATGATGAAAGAGAGCTGAGGTGGGGACATTTAATTCGTTTCTATATCTTGACGATGAAATTCTTCATTCTCATCAATTAAACTCAAACTGGCTTCTTTGGTATCTCAAAATAGCTTAGACAGAAGACCCATTCTCTTCATTATGGTGATTGAGGCATTCGGTAGTACAATGGAGAGGGCCATTGTTTGCAGGAGGATTTCAAATTAGGGTTATTACGAATCAACCTTGGTGGTGCCTAAGGCTCACTTATTATTTGCAGATATGATGGTGTTGTGAAGCGGATCAGATCACCAAAAATACTTGACAACGAGATAAGCTAAATTACTTCAAAGTACATTTGTCTCTAAGCAGAGACAAATGCATACCTTGAAAATCGACACGAAAAAGTTCGGCTGATTTTGGTGGGTGTTAATTGTTAACAGTTGATAGGTTGATAGGCATTTGAGAAAGAGAGTGGGAACTTTTCTTGCTTCTTATTTGGGTCTCCCTTTGGGTTCATTCAAGACCATTAAGGTGAGGAATCCAATTGTACAATGATTAGAGATGATTGATGGGTTACAAGATGCAGAATTTATCTATGGTGGTGGCTTTACCCTAATTAAAAAACACTTTGTCCAGCCTTCCAACATACTTTCTCTTCTTTCTGTCCCAGCTTCTATTGCGAATATACTAGAGAAGCTTCAGGACTTCCTGCGGAGAGTTGGAAGGGATGAGTTGAAATACACCTGGTTGACTGCAAGATGATTTGTTCTCCAATGAAGGAAAGAGGCTTGTGCATTGGAGACAAGAGGAACAACTCATGGATAAGAATGCTGGAAAGGAAATACGAGCGTGAGAGGCAACTGGTGTACTAAGGATATTATGATTTCTTAAAGAGTACAAGATCCCTAGTCGGGAGTGGACAACAAATTAGGTTCCTGCGTGATAGTTATTATGGAGAAGGTCCCTTGCATGAGATCTTGCTGGATTTTCAGGATTACAATTAAATGTAACGCCTTGCCAGTCAGGTTATTTTGGGAATTTGGTGTGGATGGACACTCGATTCCATATACCATTACAGTATTGGGAGTAGGAAGAATTGAGGCCTTCTTTGGTATTGTTATATTCCCACACTATGATGAGGAGGATGCCATGAAGATAGGGATGGCAATTTGCCCCGCGGGGACGGGTACCCGCCCCACCCCGCCCCATTTATAGTGGTTTTGGGGGACCGTTTAGCTTATATGGGTGAGGATGATTTTTATTAATGAAAACCCGCGCAGGTTCGGGGCGGGGACGGGGGAGGTCACCCAACCCCACCCCGCCCCGTTTAGGTAGGTAAATTATTAAATTACCCTTATTTTATTAGTAGATATAGTTAGCTCTAGAAACTTTAAATCATATTCACTACTTTCTCAACCGTTCTAGTGAGCGGCAGAGCCCTACGAACTAAGAACACTCGTACCCTTCAATTTTATGTTAAATTATTGATTGCTCATTTTTTATGATTTTTTTCAATAGTTATATAATTGTATTTAAGGAAAAAAATTTAAAAGGAGGAGAAATTCTGGAACTAAACGGGTGGGGAAGGTGCCCGCAGGGGTAAAAAAAGTTAAACGGGGTGGGGATGGGGTGGAAAGGTCCCTCGTTTAGGCGGTTTTGGGGTGGGGACGGGGCGGGGGTTTCTAAACGGTTATGAGGGTGGGGGAGGGTACACCCGTCCAAAAGCACCCCATTGCCATCCCTACATGAAGTGGGTGGAGTTGAAGGAGGCAAAATGCAAGGTGAAACCCTTCTATAGGGTACTCCAAGGATAGGAGCATCATGGTTTCCTTCAGCCTGCAATTTGCATGCTAAAACTCCACATTAATATTGCATCTTCGGGATATACAGTGCTTTCGGGAATGATTTCGACTATTGACAACTTGCTAGAGACGAGGCACACTGTAGTTAATTTGTATTGCATGTGCAAGTCTGCAAGAGGGACAGAAAACTGATTAGCATTTGCTACTGCAATGTCCAGTGGCTCAAGATCTGTGACCATGTTGCTTTCCCTCTTTACAGTTCAGCTGCACTCGTCTTTGATCACGATTTGGGCGAACAGAAATACTAGGTGCTTTGAAGAAAAGAATCACCTATGCTGATTCCGAAACATAAGATCATAAGTTCCTTACTTTTTTTTAAGTGAAACTGTGCTCCCTCCTCTCTTGGAACACTGGAAACTCTTTTATTAAAATGTTATGTAGAGTTTGGGAGAGGCAAGAACAGTCTTTTATAGCAAACTTGTTAATATATCATGTGTCTATAGGTGTACCCTTAAAAATGATAATATTTTCAAATGCATATATGTAAAAGCTATTGAGATGACTTGGACCACATAATTTTTCAGAAATTGCTGTTTTCATACTCTCACACCTGCTCTTAGTAAACTAGATCTGATCATAATCACTACCAGTTTTATGTTCACAAGGCCTGAACTTTATCATTACCAGTGTTATTATCCATTCCAGAAGACCTTTGTATATCTCTTCATGTTACATTCTTTAAGCATCATCCTTTTATGCTCTACAATCATCTCCTACTCTTCTTCCTTCAGTATTGATAGTCTCATTTTTTGTGGCATTGTGCCTCTTCCTACAATTAAGATTCTTTTGATTGACTTAGCTCCATCAACTCATTTAAGTGAACTATCTTTACTTCCTCAGCCTCTGATCGCTCAAGTGCATCACCGTAGTAAACAGTTAGCAAAGACAAGCATGGATATGCCTCAAGATGCGCCTAGTCAGGTCCTGGCTCACCATCGGAGTCCCAGGTACACAGACAATTCTTGACAGTAACTAAAAGGTATCAGAACACTCTTTCTGAGAAGCATTCACGCCATAGGCTTGATTTCACTACCTTAAACATTTCATTATTCTAGCTAGTCTTTTCTTGTAAGTGTTCATGCTTCCAAAGGGCAGAAGTCTTGAAGTTACTGTGAGGTCTCTGAGATTTCTCCTTGGCAGGATTGGCACATTAGTATTTGTGATCTTGTTCTTTTTCTTAAATGCAAAAATTCTATTAGATGAGTCTATGAAATCAAGGCTAGGGAAATGGTTCCTTGGAGCGTTATAAGGCTTGACTAGCAGCTAATGGCTTTACCCAAGAACATGGGATTGATTAGACTTGTGCTGTTTCAAGATGACTACTCCTCATCTTATTACTACTGTGGCTTCTACTTGTCAGTTGTCACCAGCCAATTTATCAAGATGATGTAAAAAATGCTTTTCTTCATGGTGATCCTCGTGAGGAAGGCATGCAACCACATCAGTCCTCCTCATAATTCTCAACATTTTGTTGTCTTCATTAGGCTATCTACAATCACAACATCCACATGCCTAGTTCAAGAAATTTAGTGATTTTGTCAACAGTTTCAAGTGTAATGAACAGAACCTGTGCTATGATTCTTCACCCTTCAAATTTTTAACGTACTATAGTGCTGTTATATTATATGTTGATAAAATGAATACCATGGGATATTATCCTTCTTACTTTTTTTCAGTAAATATTTATCCTTCTCACATTCAGTCTACTCAGAAGCACTTGCAGTTGTGGTTTTATATGAAGAATCTTGACTGTCCTTGCTATTTTTGGGTGTTGAAGAATCTTGACTGTCCTGTCTATTTTTGGGCGTTGAGTTTTCTTAAAATCCATGTGGCGATCTGCTTATCAGCGGAAGTATATCGTTAATTTTATTTCTCAATCAAGTATAACAGACACTTGTTCTACTCTCGCTCCAGATAGCTTTATGTAAAGTTTCATTCTGATGGTAATGAGCCGCTTCTTGATGCTACTCTGTACCGTCAATTGCCAATTGGTTGGTACTCTTGTGTATATCACTGTTATTCACATGATTAGTCAAGTAGTTATTGGTCCGCCATCCATTACGCTGCCATCTTAACGGATTGATCATTTCAGTGGCAAGATACCTCACTGCATTGCTACTACCATCTTCTTGTTACTGTTAGCTCCGGGCTTAATCAGATTCTAGGCTATAGATATCACTAATCCACATTCTATCATTGACTCCTGTGTTTTCTTGGAGGCTCTCTCCTTCCTTGGAAGACTTAGGAGCAAGGCATCGTCTCTTGATCTAATGCTGAAACCCTTGACATGGCTACCCCTGTTGCTAAGATTGTTTAGCTACGACATTCATTAGCCAAACCTTTAAAATTTAATGACCAGATGATGTCTAAAAACAACAGTTTTATATGTTCAATTACCAAAAAGAGGGGGAGAGAATAAAGGAGTGGTGCTCATTAAATTAGATTGTAAAGTGAGATAGATCGATTTCTAGTGTTCTATAATTGACTTGCACTTATCAAATTTAAGTGAGAATTTTGTAACAGAATTACATAACAACCCAAATCGAGAGGAAGGGAGGGGGGGGGGGGGGGGGGGGGGGGGGTGGTTGGTTGACTGTGCAGAGTAGATGCAACCAAGCAAGGAAGTAGAGATAGATAAGTGGCACACAAGGGACTGATTAGGAATAAATACAACAGTGAAGAGGTGGATCAAAATGTGGAAGACTAATGACTGAGCTAGTAGAAAAAGTAAGATGGTTCACATTGGAACTGTTACAGATCCAAGTGAAGATAAGAAAAGATATAGGTAAAGGTTGTGAGATGATACATGTCAAACTGTTAGTATAATACAACATGGCACGAACAGGGCAAAATGGTAAAGTAATTTAGCAACCAATCGTAATAATTGAGATAAGGCTTTCCAGAGTTCAGTGCAGAAACAAGATCCAAATTCATAGCCAATTAAGTAAGTGACGTGTGCGTTTCAATGAAATTTTATCGCTATTATTATATTTTACACCTTTATCCTGATATAGTTGGAGATTATGTTAAAATCATGCACGATGATTATGGTTGCAAACATCAAGCAATCTCATAATACTTTGTGACTCCTTCACAAGAAAAGTAACATAGTGCTACATAAAGGAACAGAATCATTAATTTTATATATATATATATATATAAGTTCTGTAGCAGCAAGATGCCATCCTACAGGTCAATTAATACAGGATAAGTAATACAGTGACTACCTCTTCCAAAAGTTCCCTGCTTTTCATACGCAAGAGTCCTTTAGGTGGAGCCGGTGGGACATTCTTTCTGGGAAATGCTTTCTTAAGCTGCAAAAGAGGATAACAGTATGAGCATGTCCTGGGAGCAGTCTGCCATTTAACAAGATAAATAACAAGCTTGTTCACTCAATCAATGTCCAGAGAACAAAGAAAGTTACCACATTGGTGGTCAACTGCCAATTATATTCAAAAAAAAATAAATGATTAATACTTGTACGAAGAGAATCAGCCTTACAGCAGCAAATAATTTCAAGAAATCATTAAATCTTCTTAAAAGTCCTCGTGTAGTTGTGATCCCTTCTGGTGATTGTATGCCAACCTGAACCCTGTAAAACTGTCCCTTAATAGTGTTAAAATTAAACATACTTACAACTGCTGTAGTATAACCAGAAATAAATGCACATAAATGAGTTGGGTTGAAACTAAAAGTTGTCAACTCCACCAAGTATAGCTTTACATTCTTGTTATCAACATCCCATGAATTCCAGAATGAAAAGTAAAAATGAAAGCAAACTAATCAATTGAAAATACTTTTGGTATTCTTAAAAGCTAGCAATTAAGACTATTTTGGACATTCTTAAAAGGGTAGCCACATTTTGCCCAGAAATGGCAATTAGATATACTGACTTCATCTCCATGCAACTAAAGTATGCAAGATACAGGTGGGCCAGAGATCATGCGTGCACTAATGCATGGTTTGGATGGTAAATTGTCTTTCCTATACGTCCCATATACTTTAAAAGAAACCTGTCACTAATGTATACAAAAGACTCAACCCTGCTAAATTCAAAGCATGAAATTTCTCAGATAAATGATAATAACAACTAAAACATCCCCTTAGCATAGGACAGAAGACAAAGTCTCCTGCTCCTAGATAATATCCACATATTGTCATCGGTATGCAAAACAGGAAAAGAAGTAACAGAAGAAGATATGTATACATCATTTACTGGTACAAAATAAACAGAATTAGAAGTATTATTTTTACTCAAAACGCCGAAATGAATAAACTGGTAATAGATAGCTATCAACTGGTAATAAGCATGTTAAATTGGACAAGGCAACATGATTTTTTTTGGACAAGGCAACATGATGCCCTTAATGCCATTACAATAACATGGTAAAAAATGGTTATATTCATCTAATATTGTTATATTTCTAGAAAATGAAGCCATGTTAGTTTAGATTCAGTAAAACAAAAAATAAGTAACCAACTACTCAGAAATGATAAGTAACATAAAAAAATATATGCCCACATCCATATCTTGCAAGTGAAATCAATACATAATTATGTCAGATCCCAAATGATGGTACTAAAACAACAGCTAACCCTTAACATAGATAAGGACTGAGGAGTCATTCAATTTGAATACCACGACAGGATCTGAATCTCTTGTTTTGGGTCGGACAACCCAGGCTGGAATAGTGACACAGTAACTCCATCCTGTGTGAGGATCATGTGGCCAAACAGTGTCCCGCCCATTCTACACAGTCAACAAAAACTAAATCAAAACCTCGATAGAGAGAATGATAACTTTAAAGAAAATTTAGAAAAAAAGGTTCAGCTATTTGGTCATTCAAATAACATTATTCAGAATGAAAATCAGCAATTAGCCACCTAGAGCACTAGCCATCTTACAAAAGAGAACTCAGTCAAGGAAACAAGTAAGGTCCTCTGTTTAATTTCCTTTAGAATGAGGTCTCCAAATAAATATTGCAAAGATCCCCACAATGAAATTTAAGGGAAACCAAACTGGAAAACTCAATAAACAATCTATCGTGATAATGACAAAAAATTCATATAATACTCAAAGTTACAAATGAATTAAAGAAAAGCAGATGCTTGCTATTCCAAGGTAGCTTCGATCAACCTGCACTCTAGAAACATGCAGTTGAAACATGATAAAGTAGAATGGCACTCCATTCTACTTTACACATATGATATAAGGGATGGTCCAATAAAAACCGTGGTTCACTATCTGTAGATGCTGATGCATGTAACTATAAATAATTCCTTTTCTGAATTAAATTCAGAAGATTGCCTTAAGAACTGGAAGTGATAAAGACAAATGTGGCTTCAGAAGAGGCTAGGGGAAGATTTAGAGAGATGAATAAAATGGCATGCCGTCACTTAGTGAGGGTGTATCAGTCAATTCAACAACTCTCTTTTGATTTTCTTGCCCATCATTTACTTTCTAAACAAATTTTAAGGAGATATATTTGTATATGCTGTGTTATTCTTTATACCCCATATCTTTAACACTTTAAGAAAATTTCATAGGCAAAGATTTTCTCCTTGCTCACAAATTAACTTCAAACCTGGTTGAACTACGAATCCAGTTGAATGAACCCACAACTACTTAAATCCATGGACCCATAGTACACATGGTGAAAATTGTAGCACTAGAAAGTCCTTTAGGTTTGAACATGCTCATAGCTTGACTTTATCTCTTTTCTTGACAAGTAAGCTTGCAGCCACACTTATCATAAAAGAAACAGTATTCTTATCAGCAGTGTTTCAGTTTAGGAGTACATATTCTCTTGTTTATTTAATTTTGTCAATATCTTTGTAGAGCACTAGTGAAATTCATATAGATATAGTCAGGATAGCTAAATGTAGACTATACATTTACAAAATACTTCTAGTGGCCTATTGTTACTTTGGTTCCAACCATATGTGCATATTAAGTAATGTACCATTGGTAGTTTACTGTTGGGCAATAAGCCTATGCAACAAGAAAGTAAATGTACAAGGGAAGACATTTCTGGTTCAATATATTGAAGAGCTATAATTCTTTGCATTCATACTCTTCTCCTCCTTACCTCACCATTCATCATTTTTCTCTTATAATGTCAACATGCTTGCAAGACTTGAGCAGTAGCAGATTCTTGTTGAGGGAAAACGTTCTTTGAAAACCAAAACTAATGCTTTAGGCCCCACTCCAATCAATAATTTGTCTTGGTCCAAGAAAACAGTGTTTTCAGTTCTTCTAGATCATTTTTATATTTGAGTCAGGTTAAAAAAAGTACCTTTTTTTTTTTTTACAAGCAATAAGAATCAGCTATTAACCACCCCTCTCAAGCTGCCATGCCAGAATTCCTTGCCAGTATGCTAAAACAGTGACTTTACATCAAAATTCTCCCTAACTTTGACACATTAATGTAATGGAAATTGTTTAATCTAATTTAGCAATTTGTTACTCACCCTAGTGTAATAAGTCGCTGTTTGAGCTGTGCTTTAGCAGTGAACTTTTTTTGTTTTTCCCCTTATTTTGACTTCTAGGCTTCATTTTACTATGGCTTATGATATCAACAATTTACAATTTATAGAGCTGGTGAAGAAACATATATGTAAAGGAAGCAAATTTTCTGGCATCTTGTAAGTTCTCAATTTGAAATTTTGACATGGGTGAGTACTAGTTCAGCAATCAACCAAGTTCTCTAGCATTTTCCCAGAAGAATTAACCTAATAGTCTTGAAGTTACTACAACAAGTATTGTTTACACATTTACAAATGATTATATAGAAAATCATTATATATAATGAATAAATAAATGAAGTTTGTTCGCAAAACAAACATAGAAGTGGGAGAAATACTAATAACAAAAAATAACCAATTCCCAGCACTTGGCCTAACTTGTACTCGACCTGTTAACTAGGACATCATTGATCATCAGAGAGAGAGAGGGAGGCATATTTATTAAGAAAATGGAAGACACGAAGAAGAAAGGGAACGGTGGATGAAAATTGTTCATGAGAGCGGGAGAGATTGCTATAATGATAGGGGGATGCCATGTGGCAGCCTATGGAGCTGATTTCTGAACTAATGGAGAGACAAACTCTCAACTTGAACTTTCCAAAATCAAGGTATGATCAAGTCAAGATTAAAGTAACTTAATGTGGTCTACCAACAGTGGCCTAGCGGTATCGGCCTCTTACCTCCCAAAGGAAGGTCAGGGGTTCAATTCTCAGAAGAGACTTATGTGCGAGTACCAACTAGGAAAAAAAATGTGGCCTACTAGATCCATTCAGAATTATACTTTCCGAGCTCAAGCAATTCAAATTATTCAATGTATAGGCACTGAATTGTATAGAAGCAGTTAAAATTCCATGAGCCCTAAAACTCAATTTTCAATATCACACGGAAAATTGATCAAACAATTAAGAACGAACTAAATTCCGATTGCCCAGACACAAGTTATCAATGAACTCAATCACAAACCCAGTAAAAGATCGAGAAACATGCAAAAGAAATTCAAGTTCATCCGAAATCCACATATAATCTTTTTGAATTTCAACGAACAAATCAAAAACTTAGTCAAGCGATCAATGACCTCGATTTCCAAGCTCCTTATAGTTCAAAATCAAACAAATTGCAAAAGAGATTCTCAAATTCATCAGAATTCAACAATGATCAAAGAGAAAACAAACCCATTTCCGAGGCGGAGGACTCCAATCCATCCCTAGAGGCAATGGCGAAGTCCCGTCGTGTCTGTGCTTCGGAGGACTATGTCTCTGCATCGTTTGATCCATCTCACTCTTATCTCTAAAAATCACTTATTTTCTCTAAGCAACTTTCTCTCAACAAGACTCTTATTCTCTCTCTAGAATTGAAGGTGAGATCGGGGTGAAGGAAAGAGTATTAGGGTTCCGATGATCGGATCAAACAGACCAAGCGTCAAGTCTTTGAAAGCAGACAGGTAAAGTCCGTACAAATTCATACTCGGCTTTGGTCGGTATTAAACATGACGCGGCGCATTATAAGAAGAGAAAGGGGGACGTGGCTAAACCGAGCACTGAGTGTCGCCTGCTAGGATTCTCTCTTACCTTACAAGAGAGAGAATTGTATCTTGTTACTCTCACCAAACTGTCCTCGATTGCAATTGCATATTGTTCACGGTAAGGATGAGAGAACAGGTAACGAGATTAAAGATTAATTTTGACCACTTTTGTGTTGGTGAAGACACTGCTTGAAAATCATAAGGGTATAAGGGTAAATTTCGAAAAATACCCTTTAATGTTTATATTTTGGGTACAAAAGTAAGTTTAAAAATATATAGAGATCATTGTTTTGTTAAAATTTTAGTCATGTGCAATTAGGGATGGCAATTTGTTCTACCGGGACGGGTACCCGTTTCACCCTGTCCCGTTTATAATAATTTTGGGAAACCGTTTATCTTATTTGGGCGGGAATGATTTTTATTAATGAAAACCCGCGCGTGTTTGAGGTGGGGACGAAGAGAGGTTGTCCCACCCCACCCCGCCCAGCCCAGCCCCGTTTAGGTAGAAAAATTACTAAATTATTCTTATTTTATTAGTATATATAGTTAGCTCGATCTCAAAATCTTATATCGCATTCACTCACTTTCTTAACCGTTTTAGAGAGCGGCAGAGCCATACGAACTAAGAACGCTCGTACCCTTAAAATCTATGTTAAATTATTGATTGTCCATTTTTTATTCATTTTTTTAATAGTTATATAATTGTCTTTGAGGAAAAAATAATAAATAAGGAGGAGAAATTTTGGAACGAAACGGGGCGGGGTGGGTAGCCGTGGGGGTGAAAAAGTTAAACGGGGCGGGGATGGGCTGGAAAGGCCCCCGTTTAGGCGGTTTTGGGCACGGGAGGAGGTTTCTAAATGGTTGCAAAGTGGGGGAGGGTCCACCCACCCAAAATTGCCCTTGTTGCCATCGCTATGTGCAATACACTTTTAAGATATAAAATTTCAAAAAGTCATTATTTCTTCCAATAATGCCCATATATATATATATAATACACACACAAAATCACAAACAACCTGTATGATTCTCCAATGACAAAATTGAGAGCTCTGGCAAGTAGCTGAATCACAGTCTTCTCCGATGGGTTTGTCGCTGGCTGAAGCTTTCCGGTTTAAACGCTACAGCTCTATGAAGCTTTCTGATTTGAATATTGGACTGATGTTTACTGTTTTACCACCAAAGATAACACAGTCTTCTCTGATCGGTTCGTCACTTGTTATACGAAGTAAAAACGGTTGTCAATCAGGCCTTAAGTGAATAAAAAGGTAATAAAAAGAAAAACTTAAATTCAAATGAAATAAATGAAATTGAGGTATATTAACCTCTCTTTTTTATTTTCTTTTTTTGTGCTTAAATGTTGCATGGATTTTGTACAGGTAGAGAGAGAGGACTTGGGGTCTTAAATAAGATTTTTGCAAATTCAATAACATGACTTTTGAAAAAAGTTGTGCAAAACTCTAGTAGTAGTACTCAGTTATATTAATTAATGGTCATTTTTCTATATAAAAATTAAATTGCCCCCACCCACCCCCTAAAAAAAATAATAATAAAAATTTTTGCAAACGTAACTTGAAAATTATAAGGGTATAGTAAGAAAAACATCCTTAATATTTATATTTTGGGTAAATAACACCCTATTTTTTATTTTTGTTATATAAGTCCGTCAAGTTTGAAAAAACATGGCAAACAATGGCTTAACGTCATTGTTTTGTTAAAATTTTAATCATGTGCAATGCACTTTTAAGATATAAAATTCTGAAAATGTCATTGTCCCTTCCAATAACACCCCCCCCCCCCCCCCCCCCCCACACACACACACTTACACTTGAACCACAGACGACCTGCGTACTTCTCCAGTGGGTCCGTCGCTGCTATAACTCTATAAAGCTTGTTGGGCAGCGAAAGCGCGTGAAGACAAAGATCTAATGAAAACCAACGAAGCAATCACACACAAACAGAAGATATACATAGTTCACCCAAATTCAGGGCTACGTACATAGATTATAAGAGATTCCACTATGATTCGTAGAAATTTTACAATAATATAGTAACAACACTACGTACATGTTTTTTCACCATGTAACACTCCACTAGCCTATTTCCTCGCTACCAGTGTCACCGGTGTTTTTCCTACACTACCAACCCGCATACTACCTCTACCCATCAACTCCCTCATGAGACTACATCTCTCTCAATCTCATAAGTCTCAGCCCACAACATAGGTATCTATTTATAGAGTTACAAACACAATTCATTGTTGGACTATGATTACAATTCTTTAGAGGCCAAGACCTGCCAAACAATAAGTCACCTAACAAAATACAACTCTAAAATAAAATTCTAATTAGAATAGGAATTTGAGACACAATTTCCAACAATCTTCACCTTGACTCAAATTTTATCCAGCCAATTATCGTTTTCAAGGCATTGATTAAGACAATTCTTTTGCAGTTTTAATTTCGACGATACTCTTGCAAAACTCCGATTGTCCACATTATATGTTACTCGATCAATCAAACCTCCAAGGCTCCACCTTGACTACTCAAGCTCCATGTTATGTAACCAAGTCGATTGACTCCACTTATAACTGAAGCCCATTGCAGCACGTGTTAAAACTTTCTGTGTTTTCTAGATCTCCTTTACCTTTGGCGCTGATACAAATTTGTTAGGGTAACGGAAGTGTAATGACCCACTCCAGCACATGGTATGATATTGTCCGCTTTAGGCCTGAGCCCACACGATTTTGCTATTGGTTTTACCCCAAAATGCCTCATACCATTTAGAGATAACACCATCACATATCAACACTTCACCTTTTCCTTACCCAGGCGATGTGGGATTACATATAAGCACTTCACCTTCTCTTACCCAGGCGATGTGGGATTGTACACACATAAATGGCTCAGTGCTGTAGTTTGCCGGTAACGACCCTCACCCTATTCAGACATAATATTATTCTCTTTTGGCTCCCCCGGACCATAGACTTCCCAGGGGGTCACCATCCTGATATTATTCCGAGTTAAACACACTTAACTCCGGAGTTCTGGTGGGTTCACGACCATTACGGCTTTAAAACGCGTTATGTTATAAAATGGTGCCCATCCAGACCCAAGCGATATGGGATTGTGCACTTATAGCTTACCCAGTATGGTAGCCTACTGGTGCCACTTGCACACACACACACCCACCCACAAGGTTGCCACAATCACCCTTCTTTGGGCCCAGCGTCCCCGTTGGCCACACTTCCGGCTAGGTCAAACTTGATACCATTTGTAACGACTCTCACCCTACACAGACATAATATTGTCCGCTTTTGGCTCCTCCGGACCAGAGACTTCCCAGGGGGTCACCCATCCTGGTACTACTCCAAATTAAGCACGCTTAACTCTGGAGTTCTGGTGAGTTCATGGCATCACGGCTTTAAACATGTTGTGTCATAAAAGAGTGTTGAATATACATATAGCACTTGCCCCATCCACACCCCAGGCGATGTGGGATTGTGCACCTATAACTCGCCCAGTGTGGTAGCCCATTAATGCCACCTGTACACGCTCACACACACATACCCACAAGGTCGCCACACTGCTAGTACCTCACACCCGCTCACGAGGTCGCCATAAGAAGCGCACAAAGATAAAAATCGCATAAAAGCCAACAGAGCAATTATAGACAAACACAAGATATACATGATTCACCCAAATTCAGGGCCACGTACATAGATTATAAGATATTCCACTATAATTTGTAGAGATATTATAGCAATAGAGTAATACCACTATGAACATGTCTCTTCACCATGTACCACTCCACTAGCCTATCTCCTCGCTACCAGTGTCACCAGTGTTTTTCCTACTCTACCAACCCACATACTACATCAACCCATCAACTCCCTCCTGAGACAACATCTTTCCCGATTTCATAAGCCTCAGCTCACAACATAGGTACCTATTTATAGAGTTACAAAAACAATTTCTTGTTGGATAAGGATTGCAATTTCTTAGATGCCAAGACTTGCCAAACAAGAAATTACCTAACAAAATACAACTCTAAAATAGAATCCTAATTAGAATAGGAATTTGAGATGGGCTTCAGTTATAGGTTGAGTCAATCGGCTTGGTTACATGACATGGAGCTCGAGTAGGCAAGATGGAGCCTTGGAGGTTTAACTGATCAAACAACGTATTATATGGACAATCGGAGTTTTGCAGGAGTGTCGTCAAGATTGAAGCTGCAAAAGAATTATCCTTATCAATGTTGTGAAAGTGATGATTGGCTAGATAGAATTTAAGCCAAGGTAGAGATTATTGAAAATTGTGTCTCAATTTTCTATTCTAATTAGGATTCTATATTAGAATTGTATTATGTTAAGTAATTTTTGTTTGGCAAGTATTGGCTTCTAAGGATTACAATAGGAATTTGAGACATAATTTTCAACAAAGTTTTTTTATTTGAACGTTGGACTGATGTTTACTGTTTTACCACCAAAGATAACACAATTTTCTCCAGTTAGTTCGTCGCTCGCTATTGCTTAGGGCTCGTGAAACTTAATTAGAGCTTTGTTGAGGTGGGTCTTAATAGCTTGAAGCTCATCGTTTGATAGTCTGAGTTTCACCGGACTGAACTAGGTTTCGTTGAGATGGGTCGTGGTTGCTTGTAGCATCGTCGGACTGAAACACTCCAGTGGTTAAACTTTGTTTGATTCCTTGCTGTCAATGGAGCTTTTCGGTTTGTTCTATAGTCTTATCGGAACTGTGGTATGCCGGACTGTGTAATCCTAAATAGAGAAGATGAAGAAAGGAAAAATATTTTATTGGGGTCCATTTTAGTATTTTTATGATCCATTTTAGTAATTTTACATTTAATTAAAAAAAATTATCTATTTTTTATTCAATTATAGAGGGGTACTTTAGTCTTTTTTATATCCAGGTCCTTATTTGCACTAAAAATTAATGTTAGGGATTTTTTAGAACGTATACGAGGTTATATACTCTATATGCATACCATATAGATGTTTTTCGTTCGCGACCTAAATTATAATTATCATATAATTGAAAAAACTTCACTTCAAATCAAATAGAATCAATGTTTTT